GGAGATGGAGTAGACCAAATTCTGATTTATGGAATGTGCACTTAGTTGGATAAAGATGGCATTCAATGAGGTGAAGAAGACTGGATGAGAATGCTCTCAGGGAGACATCTACCCAGTAGTTTTCAGTCATCGTTATAAATCATTTTAAATAGCCTGTCTGCTATGTAAGTCTGAAGCTCCTAGAGGCCTGGAGAAAGGAGCAAACGTGAGTCTTTGGCATTTAGGTGGTAGTGAAAGGCTTGTGTGTGGGTGTGTACATATGAATGTGCATAAGAAGAAATCACAATGATATTAGGTAAGGGCCCAGAGCTGGCCCTAAAAATTTATACATTTCATTTCAAGAAAAGGAAGTTGCAAACATATAAAAATTTGGAAAGAAATAGCCGAAAAAGGAAAAAAAGAAAACCAGTTGGGAACTCACTATGTAGACCAGACTGATTTACAGAGATCTGCCTACCTCTGCCTCCTAGGTGCATTAAGGGCATGTGGAGCCATGCCTGGCCTTAAGGGAACATTTATCAATTTGGAATATGCTACCTAGTAACAATAGTCCATAAAGTGTCTGTCTCAGTATCAAAAATTTACTAGGAATAATCTACTTCATAGAAAAACATATACTCAACAAATATTTATTAAACTGTGTACTATCCTAGGTATATGGAACTAAAACCAGTAAAATGTGTTAGATTGTTACATTGTAACAGTAAGAAAAAAATGTAAAAATATAACAATATTGTGATTTTAAAAGGCTATTATAGAGTGTGAAAAAAAGAGGTTAGTTTGCTTTCAAACTGCTGGGCCATAAAAATCTCACTTCTCAGAATTCAGACACCTTCCAAATGCTTCTCCTCTTCCTGGGGTAAATCATTAATATGAAGCTCACCTTCTTTGGTATATAACACCTTTCCTCAAATCAAACAAAAAACCTTTTTCACAAAGAAGGGGGAGACAGGGGGCTATTTTCGATGCCAGTTTTCAGTGTAGCAATTAAGCTTTGGCTGTAACAGGAAGAGGTTACCATAAGAAAAGACACACAGCAAAGAAAAAATGGATATGCAATGTGAGCTTATTATTTCTGGAAGAGACTAAAGATTAAAAAAATAGCTATTCTTGAATTGTAAGAGGTCTATGAAACAGAGTAACTCAGAAGACACTGAGAAGTAATACTGAGAAAATAATACCCAAAATAAAGAGCAATAGAAATTGTGTTGACCCAAACATGACCTTTGGAATGAGAGGAGGGATTTTGCATATCTAAGAATACCTCATCTCATCCCTCTTTGATAGATTTTAAAGTTATTTCAATATTTTTCCATTTATTTAATGCAAACAGGTATGGCTTGCTCTGACAAAATGTCAAATTTCTACCTCGGTGCTATTATACAGAGACAGGGCATCAAGTTCTTATCGGTTGTTCAAAGTCATTCTTAAAGAGCAAAACAAAATCTGATTATAAATATTGGAAATGTCTCTATGCCTGACAGCCTTTACTTTCAAATATTTCTTTGGGCTTATAGTCTCTTTCAAAAGAAAGCACTCATGCATATGCCACAGTCACATGTTAATAAGAAAGCAAATCATTCACTTTTGGAAAATTGCAATTTCTATTTAGACACCATTTAAAAGCTACTCAATGAAAAGAATGATACAAAAGCAGAGGGTGAAATATTTTGAGTTTAGAACTTTCTGGGTGGAAAAGAAATATATATAAAACACCTCACACATAGTTAACACAATGGTCCACATTTACCAATTAATATAAAACTTAGCACACAGGGATTATATTCCAAACCATTTCAAAACTCTTAAGAGTAAATATCCTAAAAAATAAAGTAAAATATAAACAGCACAAATAAAAATTTGCCAACACTGAGCTAGTGAGAATTATTTATGTTCCTCTCGAAGAAACCTCAGTAGTCATTAGTACAAAGCAGGAGAGATGGCTCAGCAGGCAAAGGATGTTGTCAACAAGACTGAGAACCTGAGTTCAACCCCTGGAACCCACATGGTGGAAAGACAAAACCAACTCCTGCTAGTTGTCCTCTGACCTTCACAGGTACCCTGTGGCATGCCTGCAACACTGTCCTCACATAAACTGACTAACTAACTAAGTAACTAAGTAACGAAAGAACGAACTAACTAAATCAATTAATGTAATAAAAATTTTAGAAATCATCAGTAAAATGTTAGTTCTTTTTATCCACACCAAGTCATAATAAGCCGATGGTGATGCATTTATTTCATCCAGGGTGTATCTTTTGGAAACCAAAGTCATTTTAATGGAAAATGTAGTAGTTGAAAATACTTCAGACTTGAAATCAAATGCAGGTTTCCCAGAAATTTCTGAAAGTAAAAATGAAGAAAATTTCCATGTTTCTCTTCTCTGATGACTGGAGTAGACTCATTTTTTACACACAGTCAGGTTTTTGTTAACAGTTGCTGCTAACAACTTGAAGCTATGAGAACTTGCTCCTTTCTGTCATCTCCTATGGATCAAGAAGGAGTCATTTATAGATGGCTCTGGATTCATCCCATGTTGATAAATTTATAAGTTTTAAAAAACGCAAAACTGTAGTACTTCAGTATGGCTAACTAGTTATAACTACAATTTTGAACTCCCCAAAATGTGGTGTGCTTTCTAATTATTCCTTAAATTGTTTTAAGCTTCAGGTTTTAAGGCCTGATTATTAATTTCCTCACATTTATGATCATGGCATATTTTATGTCTAATTTTTATGAAGAATAATTTGACTTTATCTTGAGCTGTGTTTGTGCTAGGCCACAAAACCAGGTGGTGACCCAGTGGGATCGAGGAAGCCATTAAAGCGACTACAGAAACTGTTGTGGATCAAAAAAGTCAGAGTGCAGAACCTGGATGAGGTGAAGCTGCCATTAATGAGGCTCGGTAAGTAAGAGCTTAGCACACTGCTCTAAGTTCTCTGAGGAAGAGCTGGCCAAGCATAGGTTAATGAAATGCATTTTGATAAGGTCTTAAAATGCTTAAGGAACTTTGAACTTTTCTTTACTGTTATTTTAACAGATATCCTAACTCCTATCCCTGTGTTACAGCTTTCTCTCCTCCCCTCAGGGCCAGGGCCAGGACCAGGGACAGGGTCAGCTCTCCATGGCTAGAGCTCAGAAGGACAATAGGGTTAGATAGGTACACAGCTCTCATTTCCAGGTTATAGAAAGCAGCATTTTTTAAAAAATCATGTGAATGGAGAAAAGTAGTATGCTGTTACATGCAAATTTAGTTTGCACTTATGTACTTACAAAAAATTACCAGCTATGCATGGTGGCACATGATTGCAATCTCAGAACTGTAATCACGCACTGGGAGGCAGATGCAGGTGGATCTCTGTGAGATCAAGGCCAGTCTGGTCTACATAGGTAGTTCTAGGCCAGCTGGGTCTGTAGGGAGATTCTATTTCAAAAACCAAATGAAAACCAAGCAAATACCTAGTGAAGCATAGTTTTGTTCGTCCCAGTTGAGAGTCATTGAAACAGAGTGACTTTCTTTGACTGATCCACGTTTTTGTATCTATAATTGTTTTTCAATTTTTATTTATTTTTATTTTATGTGTATGAGTATTTTGCCTGCATGTATGTAAGTGTGCTATATTTATGTAATGCATGTGGAGGCCAAAAGAAAGTGTTGAATCTCCTGGAACTAGAGTTATGGATGGTTGTAAGCTACCAAGGGAGCGATATGAAACAAACAGGTTCTCTGGAAGAGCAGTAAGTGCTCTTAACCACCGAGCCATCTCTCCAGGCCCTATAATTGTTTTATATATGAGACAACAGCTTCCTCCTCATTTTCTGCTTTATTTTCCACAGCTTCAGTTGGCTGTAATTAACTCAGCTCAGAAAATATTAATAGAAAAAAAATCCTTAAAATTAATGATTTCCAGATTTTAAATTCTGAGTCACTCTGAATAGACTCATGAAATCTGATATTGTCTTGGTCCTTCTGCCCAGGGACAGGAATCATTCTTTGTCCAACATATGTATGCTTTACAGGCTACCTGCTCCATCATGGAGAGAGAATATAGAGAGGGGGAGAGAGGGGGAGAGAGGGGGAGAAGGAGAGGGAGAGGGAGAGAGAGAGAGAGAGAGAGAGAGAATACTCTCATAACTTTTAAGAGAGTATGTTACTGCAAATGCTGTTTTTTATTAATATTGTTAGTCTATGACTGTGCCTAATTTATAAATTAAATTCTTTCATAGGTTTATATGCATAGAAAAAAACCCCACAGTATGTGTAGGCTTCATACTATCCACACTTTCATCCACAGAATCTTAGAAGCAATGCCTTATGAGTACTACCTATTTTATCAGACGCACTGACACATTGTATAAATAAATATCTGATCAGTGTGATTTATAATATTGAAGTTATTATGCCTTTGAATGTTTTCCTCAGTCTTTTCTTGATTTTCCAGAGTATTTCATTATAAGGCACACACTATGCATATCTATTTATAGAATAATATTCAAATAGAAATGTTTGAATGCCAGTAGTAGCATCTACCACTGAGATTTCATTTCTTTAAGCAAGGAAAAGAATTTAATTTGCTTCCTTATGATGATTTCTTATACATATGGCCTTAAAAAGTTAAAAATATTTATGAATTGGAACTTTCAATGTTATGAGATGTTGGATCTTTTAAAATGTGTGGCTTTTCTCAAATGTCCTTCAATATGCCTTTTGCATGTGGATTCTATTCATTTAAATCCAATTTGTGTTAATCAATAGATTCTAGTTCAAAAAGCTTGAGGAAAATGTGATTATTATAGAACAATTTCATATACTAAAAGTACTTACTTTTAAAAAGAAATACAATTCTAAATTATTTTGAGAAATTGAATGACTCCCTGAATCATCCTATGCTGTTCAGTCATTCCTATTAAATAGTAGAAAGTATAGTAACCATGATTTCTATATGTGAGGAATTATTATTTTTAAGTTTTAACTTACATTCCTTTGTCATTCAGAATATGATGATGATACATTGCTTTCCTGTATGAAATTAAGCAAATCCCAAGAAAAGAAAGCTAATAACATGATCACACAGAAGAAGGAAGAAATGGATGTTAGATTGATGTCTCTTTCTGCACCCCTGGGTACATCCAGCTTTTTAGATGAATTCTACTTAGAAGATGTAGTGTCTGCTTATGAAGGTGAAGTTCCAGTGTGGAAGAACTGGAAACTTTTTCCAGAAAACCCACTCTGGACATGTGCTGATTACCAAATTGCCCCAGTTGGAAGCTGGGGCAATGGATGCTCTTGTAGTCCTCACCCACGTCTCAAGTCTTCTTATACAGATGTGGATTTCTTACATTCATGGGTAAGCATTCAAACTACCTAAGTGCATGATTATGAGCCGAGGGCTTGAACCAACAAGGGAGAAAGAAATAGCACATGTGCTCATCAGCCATATTCTTCAGGTTTGGGAAAACCACCAGAGCTAGTGCTGTCTTTCTAAAGAGCAGAGAAGCTCTTGAGGCTTTTGACCTTGCATGTTCTTTTATGTATAAATACACTACAGCATAGTATTTTACAGAATCTTCTTTTTGTTTGAAGATGAACTTCAGGTACTGATTAAGGTGAAAGGCATGCTCACTATGTTGTCTAAACTACTGCTATTTTAATGAAGTTATATCAGCAATAGCCCATTTTAATGAGGAATTTTCTATGGGTCTGCCGTTGACCTGAGAATTTTTTTAATGAATTAATTTATTTCAGTCTCACACTCTATAAGGTAATGGCTTCTTCTAATTTTAGTCTACTAACATTTCCCTACTGTTTTACAATTGCAGAAACTGAAGCAGAGAAATGTTAGTAAAGGTTAAAAACAAATATCACATAGCTAAAAAAGATACGAGGCCATGATCTGAAACTCATCTAGTCTTAGGCTGGAGATTCTACTTTTAGTTAATATTTGATAGTATTTTCCACATACTAAACTAGACTTCAGGACAATAGAATTTATGAAAAAGAATACAGATTTTGCACTTAGAAAAATTTGGTTTGGTTTCTAGCTCTACTGCATTTTCAGCTTAGGCAAAGTATTCAAATGATTTAATCTTAATTTTTCTTGACTGTGGAATGAAAATAATGTCATTAGACTCACAAGGTACCTGAGAAGCCAAAATTAAGTATTATAAATCCTCTAGGACTTAAGGGTATCTAACTCTTTTCAGCTTCTCAGTTCCTTAAGGAATGCACTGTACCCTCATTTCCCTCTAGTCAATGGTTGTGTGTATTCACAGAGGATTAATGGAGCAGTTCTGTGTATCCAGAACACTTGCTCCGTGCCATTTTCCTCTAAGGATTAACCTGTCATTAAATAGTAGCTGTATTTTATAATGCATCAAAGGTCTCTGAAAGTCTATTTTCTTGTGAAATTATTTCTCCATGTTAAGATTTACTTACCAAATATTTGAAGATTCGATCTAGAGAGATGGTTCAGTGGTTAAAAATACATATTGCTCTTGCACAGGATACAGAGGACTAGAGTTCTGTTCCCAGCATCTATACGGGGCATTTACAACTGTCTATTCAAGCTCCAGTGGATCTGTTGCCTTCTGGTCTCCACAAGCACCCAAACTCACCTGCATGTACCCACACACAGACACACATGCATACATAATTAAAAATAAAAATAAATCTTTAAAAAGTCTTTGAAGATCAAGGCTAAGGTCACAGGTGATTAGGGTGTCATGATACATCTGACTTGTGTCAGTCAGGCACGAGAAGAAAGACGCAGAAATGAGTGGCACTGCCTCACAATGGCCACCCTTAGGGATGGCTTGCACCCTTCTTCAGGCCTTGTCTTCTGGGGCAGCTGGACTTTTTGTCTCTTCAGCAGCTTCTTAGTAACTGGTTGTCAATATGACAAATTAGGAGCCATTCTGAAGGCACGCCAGTGGCTTGAGAGCAAGATTAAGGATGTTGATTCCTTAGCATATGACAAACATGATAAATGAGAGTTTAAACAGACATATTCAGAATGTCTTCAAGAATAGAATCTGGGGGCTAGAGAGATGATTTAGTGGTTAAGAACACTGACTGCTCTTGCAGAGGAACTGGGTTCAATTCCCAGCACACACATGGTGGCTAACAACCACTGATAACTCCATTTCCAGGGGGATCTGATGCCCTCTTCTGCCCTCTATGGGCATTGTACAACATGGGTGTACTTATTTTCATGCAGGCAATATACTCATATACATAAAATAAAAATAGTAAACAAAATATTTTTAAAAGAATAAAATCTGGCCTCCCTAACATGGTATTTCCAGATTTCAGCAGACTGACCTCAATCTAATTTTCAAGCTCATCTACTTACTGTGCCTTACAGCTTCCTATGCTGGACTGTCAAAGTGAATGATTCACTATTCCTAAAAGCTGCCTTGCACTTCCCTGCCATTACATCCTTGTGTTTGTGTGATGGCATCTTCCTGGTGTGTCATTCTTTCTTTTAGAGCCATCATCCATCCCTTAAGCTCACCTCAAATTCTTTACCCTTTAGAAAGCCTTTCTGGACCATTTCTTTTGAGATTCTAGGCCCTTTAAGCATCTTATTGTTTCATTATACATTCAATAAACATATTTGCATCTACTATGTGTACCACAAAATTGGGCAATAGAGTTAGTGAGTTAAAAAAAAAATGGCACATTGTCTACTTGGAGCTCACTACTATATACTGGGATTTGTTAGGCATTTGTTTACTTTGTAAGTAATTTGTCTCTGTATTCTCCATTGCATTGAGACCAGCCTGGGCTATTATTGAGTTCCAGGTAAACTGGGGCTACAGGGAGATCCTGCCAACAAAACAAAACACAAGCAAAAACAAACAAACAAAAAAAACCAACTTTAAATCAATGGACTTTGTTTCTCTAGATTTTGATAAATCAATTCTTGATTTCCTGTACTTACAGCCAAATTTATTCTAATTAATCCAGTTATATGTGAATTCAATTGTGTGCTTGCAAGTGTTTGTGTTAGGTAAACACACAAGAGTCATTGTCTTCTTTTTCATTCAGATGGTCTTGTGTGTCTTAGTACATAACTAAATGAGTGAGTTTTATCAGCAAGAAGGTCACACGTATCTGCCGAATGCTCGGAATTTCAAATGGTAATGTTCAACATTTGTGACAGAACGGCCTCAGTGGATTTGAGGAGAAGGTTCAAGAACATGTTAGAGTTAAATTGGTTTGGTAAACTTAATGAGACCTCTTCCACCCAGGGATTTGAGATACTACAGTGAAAGAAGGGAGATGAGTGCAAATTATTATTTTTATATTCTACACCTATATTCTATAATGATAACAAGTAAAAACGATCCCGTTTCATTTTAGCATAGCTGGTATTTTTTCTATAGTAATTGCAGAGTTATTATTTGGGTTATTTAACTTTCATTCTCAGAACATGCAGAAGGCAGACAGCGTTAAGGGAAAAGATGTGCTTCTGAAATGAGTGTTACTATTAATGACAGGTAGTCAGAGGTGACACTTTTACAATTTTAAAGGGTAAAAGTATAACTAGATTTTTTAAAAGTGTTCCAACATACTCAGATATAGTCGTGCTGGGTCTGAGCCCCACATTTTAGGGGAACTAGACCTAACTACAAAGACAGCGATTTCTCCTGGCCTTGAAAAATTTCATAGGAGATTTCAGTGCCTCTGATCTGAAACCGACCTGTCTTCCAGAAAATCTTTACTCATCCACAAATAACCCTCCTAAGTCCCTTGTAGGCTTGTGCTCTCAAGACTGGTTCTGTAGTGCAAACCCTTTGCTGCCATGACCAGGTGAGTGAGCTTGAACAACCATCCTCTTTCAGTCACCAAGTCCACTTCTGCATGGTAGAGTCAATGCCTACTTACTCTGTTTCTACTGAGTGACTATGCACACCAACACACCCATTTGCAAGGCAATGTTATTCATATAAGCAGCGCTACTGAGATATGAAGTGAAATAAATCAGTACTCAGTCAATAGTAGTCAATATTTATCCCCAGAGGTCTGCCTTAATTAGAAAGAAGCAACATGGTTTTCAGTTGTGACACCAAGAACAAAGGGAATCAGGCATGGGAGTGTACTGTCTGTGAAGGGTTCTTCACAGAAGTCAACAGGTGAATGAGACCAATAGATGTTTAACAGACAGTTTAGGTGTTTGTAAAGCCTGAAGAGGCTAAAGAGTGGGAAGAGATAAGTGGTTATGGAACTGATATATACTGAGATGGGTAAAAGAACAAATTTATGAAAGTGTATACTCTTTATATAAAATGTGAAAGGGAAAACTAGGGTGTGAGTCTTTTCTGTCTCTGAGATGAGAGCTTTGGAGAGAAGAGTTCAGGTGTATGTGCAGAAAGATAACAGTGGAAACACCAAAATGGGTATTTGGAGCCAAGTGTTGAGAATCACTTTCTGAGAGAATGTGAAGGATGCTTATAGCACTCTGCACGCTGAGAGCTTGAGGCATCCTAAAAGAAACAAGAGGAACATAAGCAGTAGGCTTGGAAGAGAATGGGTAAAAAAGAAAAGTGTGTTGCCAAGGAGATGAGACCTGCCTGAAGTGTACCACTGTGACCAGAGCAAACGTATGTTTGATAATCTAGGTGAAGATTTTAGATTTATTACAAACAAAATATATCCATCACATTAAGAAATGTAAGTAGGGCACACAAGATGGCTCACAGGGAAAGGCACCTGGCACCAAGACAGATGGCGCAAGTTCAATATCCAGAACCTATACAGAGGAAGGAGAGAACTGATTCACACAAGTTGTTCTCTGACCTATACGTGTACCCCCACACACATATAAATGTAATTTTTTTTAAAAATAGAAGTTATCTAGATATGAAAATGTGAACTATATCCACTCATTTTTTACACATTTAAAATATTTTGAAATCTATTTTTATATATTTCCCCACGTGCACGCATGCATGCGTGTGTGTGTGTGTGCATGTGTGTGTTCTTGAATGTACACTACATGCATGTAGGAGCTCCCTAAAGGCCAGAAGAGAGCACTGATTCTTCTGGAACTGCAGTAATATAGGGTTGTGTGTGACCATGTGGGTACTGGAATCTGAACCCTGGTCCTCTGCCAGAGCAGTACAGTTAAGTAATTCTAACTGCTGATCCATTTCTTTAGTCTCCATTGAAATTTTATTTTAGAAAAATAATGTGATATATTTAAAAGTGATGGCACAAAGCTCTTTGATGAAGAAGCAAAGTCAGAAATCAGAAAGAAAAATTTGAGTGCAGTATGAGCAGAAAAATAAAAATAGAAAGAGTCACATCATGAAAATCAGAAGAAAATAAGTGAAGTTTATAAAC